ACTCTTCGACCAATGAAGAGGCTGGTAGCTGGAGTTCCCCTGTTGCAGTGTTCAGACCTAGACTTGTGAAACATTGCGGGAGGCCAAACCACTTGTGTGCTTATTCCACGAATGTGCTTATTCATCTGATGCTCTAGGGATTCTGCTGTCGATGTTGGGATCTCGTACAGCATCAAGGGCCAGCTAAGCCTTGATAGGAGTGAGTGTTGGTACATCCGAACCTTGAACTTTCCTTGAAGCCCTGTCTTGTCTATAGTCTACAGATTCTGGCTCAGACTAACCTGGTGTTGATTGATATCTTCCTTGTCCTTAAGGGTAGCATCAAGCCACTTCCCAAGGCACTTGATAGGATTGTCTATGATCCTCGGGATGTCTTCGCCTTGAATCTTGAGGTCCACATGTGGTAGTATTTTCCCCTTCCTGAGAACAAGGTACCTTGACATTCTTTGCTTGAACTTTATTCTTGCCAAGGATGGTGTTTTTTCCAGAGCACCAAGAATCCATCTTGATTGTATGTGGGATTCTTTTGTTATGGTTATATCGTCCATAAACCGTCTGGTTGGGGGCATCCATATGCCCGATGTCATCTTGGGACCCCTTGTCTCCTGTTCTGCTGCCTTCAAGATGAGATTCATTCCAAGGACAAACAAGATGACTGAGACTGTACATCCTGTAACTATACCCCTTTCTACCTTGATCCAGTCAGTGGTAAAGTCTGGAGTGCTGAATCTAAGACGAACATTGCTGTAGAAGCTTCGTATCAGCATCTTTATCTTGTCTGGGAAATGATAGTGATCCATGGCATGTTCAATCACCTGGTTTGGAATAGATCCATAGGCGTTGGCAAGGTGTAACAAAACTACTGCGAGGTCACTATTGTTGACGCCTGCTTCTCTGTGTTATGGCTGCGGTATGTTCAAGAAATCCTGAAAAGCCTGAAATGCCACCCTTCTGGACTGCAGTGTTGACATAATCATTTTCTGTCACGAAGGCAGATATCCTCTTGACGACAATTGAGAAGAATATCTTGTCCTCTACACTCAGAAAGGATATTGTTCGGAACTGGCTGCTGTTTTCCGACTTCTTCTCCTTAGGTGTTAGGCATCCTCTTGCTTCCTTCCAGCAATAAGATACTGTTCCTTTACGCCAGACGATCTTGATGAGGTTCCACAGTTTCTTCAACAGCTTCGGGCAGTTCTTGTAGACCTTAAAATGGATCCCACTTTGTCTTGGGGCTGACCCTGATCGGGCTTTCCTCAAATAGATAAATACAGAATCCCTAAAGAAAGCCCAACACGGCAAAATTGAAAATGTTGCAGGCTCGGTTTGATTGAGCCTGTTCATGGACGGTACTGGAAAGTTACCGCCCACGCCCCTAGCACCGGCTTAAGCAGAATTCAACATTTAAACATGAAATAGTAAAATTTTGAATTACGAAACATCCGCAGATGTGTTCATACGGCGGATATCATGGAACCTTCAATGTGACACAGTAGTGTCATTCCATTAAAAGCGGCGTATGGTCCCCCAAGTAATAAAAAACGTGTGCCCGAAACGAGAAAACAATGGGCGGAACTAAATAAAATGGAATTTTGAAAGGGGATCAGAGGTTATGAATCCTGCGTATCACAGATAAGACGTCAAAAGACAAATTTAAAAAGCAGGCAACATATCCTAAGGGTGATTCAACATTATTCAAGTAGGAATATTGGAACCGACCAACTAGAAAATGCCGAAAAGTTGGAACTCAAAATACCACAAGGACAACAATAATGTCGTGCTGAACGATTTTCAAGGATCGAAAATATAACATCATTGATTAAATGACGGGGAGACTTTTTACAGCCACCACACGGCACAAATAACACGGATGTGATCATGAAATAGATAAATACAGAATCCATAAAGAAAGCCCAACACGGCAAAATTGAAAATGTCGCAGACTCGGTTTGATTTAGCCTGTTCATGGACGGTACTGGCAAGTGCAAGTTACCGCCCACGCCCCCCTAGCACCAGCTTAAGCAGAATTCAACATTTAAACATGAAATAGTAAAATTTTGAATTTAGAAACATCCGCAGATGTGTTCATACGGTGGTTATCATGGAACATTCAATGTTACAAAGTAGTGTCATTCCATTAAAAGCGGTGTATGGTCCCCCAAGTAATAAAACACGTGTGCCCTAAACGAGAAAACAATGGACGGAACTAAATAAAATGGAATTTTGAAAGGGGATCAGAGTTTATTAAGCCTGCGTATCACAGATAAGACGTCAAAAGACAAATTTAAAAAGCAGGCAAAGTATCGTGTGTCCCTAAACGAGAAAACAATGGGCGGGAACTTGCCTCAGTGTTGGTTCAGTCAACCTGAATGGATGTGTAGGTTGGTCCATTGTGCGTATCTGCGAGCATTCCCCCAATGGATCTTCACTCTGGGAGTCAGCGTGTGCTGTTCTCAGGTATACCCCGTTTCCTCTATGCTGCTTGTCAGTCTTCCTGACTTCTTATCACTGAGCAGGGCTTTGGAGAACTTACGCGCGTTGGAGATAAATGCTGCTCTCTGTCTCCTTCTTGTCTTCCTGCCTTTCCCCAGCCTCTCAGCTGTGGTCAGGCTCTTTAGCTAATTTCTGATGATGTCCCTTAACTCGCTGAGACCAATCTTCTCCTGTTCAGACGCTTTTTATACTGCTTTCTTAAGGAACACAGTTCCCTTCTTAGGCGTTTTATCTCCATCTCCTTGTGATTTGACTTGAAGGGCTTTGGGGCTCTCTTGAATGCCAAACCTCTCCTCAACTGCATATGTGATAGCTGAGAGTGTGCGTATTTTCCTGTCTACTTCGCCTTCGAGGGCTACACTGAGTATAGTATCAAGGTCACCATCAAACAGCTGCCATGATTTCTTGTCTCCTGTGTAGGCAACTTGACTTACGGCTTCCGTTCTGTAGTGGGTTGTTGTCGCTGTCTAGGTTCATCATGGGTTTTGCTGTCTGTTTTGCTCGCTTCTCCATCTTACAGATCTGACAAGTTGGGATCCTGGCTGTTAGGGATTCTGTATTTATCTATTCTGTATTTATCTATTTATCTTTAGGGATCATGTATTTATCTATTTTTTGGGATCCTGGCTGTTAGCCCCTTCATCATGAGCTTGGATGTCTTCAGCACTATGGTGATTATCCTGGCTGGTGTCTTCCTGCGTCTCACTGATGTTTGAACCTTTGCGCTGCTCATGCTGTAGATGCCGACCGCACTTTGATCTCGCTTGGTGGATCTTCAGTCCCCTGGCATTTTACACACCTTTCCACACTTGCAAACAGATGATGCGATCTGCCCAGTCAGTGTCCGTTGAACAAGTCCGGTTGTTTCCCTTGAATCCGTCCTGGTGAGCCTTTCACCCCCTCTCGGAAAGTCTCTTTGGTGTTGTTTGTTGTTTCTGTCTGTAGCTGGTATGAAGGTGTCTCGGATGATACATGTAGCAAGGGCTGCTAATCCCTCCTACCCCGATGCCTGTCTTTCCAAGCTGTCGTCTGTCTATCCAGCGTCACTGGACTTTACTAGTTGTCAATCAACAACAAAATGTCTACCTGTTGTCATGAACTCGGATTTGGTTATAATTGTATAACAGTAGGCATTTTAAAGGGATACTCAGGCAAATTAATGACAAAAAATTAAAATAGTCTTATTTCCTCATATCACTCTAAAATTACATTTTCGAAACACCTAGCATGAAATTCTGTATAACTTTAATATATTTTCTATATATTTTGTATTTTGAGCGAAAATATATCTATATATTTTGAACGAAATTCAAACACAAACAGATTCGCTGGGTGGTTTTAAAACAAATCATGTGACTTGAACAAAACTTTGAAGTTACAATGAAATATATTTTTGATATTGTATGATTGAAACAAGTCTAAGTCATTCATTTGACATATTCTTTAATGTTTCAACAGTTAACTGTGACAACTATTGTGAAATCTTAACGCTCTATCTTGACCCACGCGGGTCAAGTTAGGAAACCACTTTTTATTCTTTATATGGTGAACAGTATTGGTTCTGTGACTGCCAAATGTAATTATTTTGAGGACACTTACAGAATAATGAATGAAAAATTCAAAACCAAAACAAAACTATATATTGCCTGTGTCTCCCTTTAAATGTCAGACATATTTTCAATCGTATTTTTACCGAAACAGACTTTAATATATCTTTGGATATCAAATATATACATTCTGTTTATTATGTTTACATTTAAAACCAATTTGTAACAGTATTGAGTTCGAGGTTATAATGAATAATAGCTGGGATAATCCGATTGGTTAAGAATAAGTTTATTTGCAGAAAATAGTTTAAAGAGTACTTGTGGTACGTTTAAAGTGTTAAACATTTTAACTGTGTCCACAGATCCCCGGGAAAAACTAATTCAGTGCTTTTTCCACATAATGTCATTTATAAATGCCCGAAACGTCACTTCGTTGCATTGTATTTACATGTATTACACGAAATGAAATTTGATGCAACAAAACATGTAATTACCAATATATAATTGATACATATTCAATTCATATTTATATTCGATCGCTCAATTTAGATACTCTGAACCCATTGTGATCAGGTCCCCACCCCATAAAAATTCAACAACAAACCAAACGATTATATACCTTGTTTGCTACAATTTTTTTTCACGTGCATGCGCAATTTGTAAAAGTATTTTATAGATAATTACGAACAAAAGTATCAAATTATATCAAATAGCCTTTAACCTTTTACTTTTCAAGGTACAACCTGTAATAATAAGGAATTGTTCTTCGAGCATTGTAAAGTACTCCTGAAGGATTTCTTAAATTTGTAAGTCTATATTGTGAAAGTAGTGGAGCGAAATGGCAAAGATGGAGCGAAAGATTCGATGATGAGGGAAAGGTTATATTAATTTGGCGATTTAGGGGAACGTAGTCTAAATAGTATGAATAAGTTAAAAAAGGGTATGATCAAGTGTTGAGACTGAGATATATAAACCTTTAAAAGACAACTAATAAAGTGTGATATCCTTTCAACAAATATAGTGTAATGAATGTAATCGGCAGTGTGTCACCTGTGGCTGCCTTAAATTCCATTATTTATGTTACAAATTAGGATGAGGCCCGATGATTGAATCATATGCCTGACGTAATACAGGGTGCCACTTATTTGATTTTTGGCATGGTTATGAAAAACTTATGTCCGTGCAAATTCGACAAAATCGAATATTTTCAGTTCTATCGCGAATAACTGTTTCCGAGCAGGTACATTGTATGTGTAACGCGTTTGTTCCCGTTCAAAATGTTATGCTTTTCGAAAAGTTAGATATTCAAGGTGCAGAACAGAGACAAAAGTATGCAATGTATGGGGCACATTAAATGGATCATTACTTCTGAGTTCGTTTAACTATAACATTCTGTAATTAATTGTCCAACGTACATGTTCAGATCAAACACAAATAAGCCACGTTTTCATGAAATTGTAAGACTTTTGTAAGGTGGGAAACTCTATGAAATTATTTGATAAAGTGTCAGTCGTTCTAAGGATATAAAATATGATAAACAAGAAAATGTGGCGTTCAATGAACACTTTGGATCATTGAAAGCCTAAAACAATCCTTCGAGGAACTACATTGGTCTATTTTTGAAAAAAGTACAACTGAAATGAATTACAACACAAAAATATAAACAATTAGCCGTTAAATCGGCCTCGCGCTCTATTTCGGAAATGCCGTTCGCTGTTTTACTGTACACCACAATTTGAAGTGGAGCGACAGTGTGCCGGGCATGACAATTCAGCTTTATTTTTGCAAATTTTTCATTATTTCAATATTCATGTGCTACGGGATATACGGTTATCATTATGCAATGCTCTATCTTATGAACATATATTTCTCGACTTGACACATTGTCTTTTGTATAGAGAACAATCGAACAAAAACGGGATCGGTAAACATATCTGTTAATCGACCGGACAGTGATTTAATAGACCATTTTAACAAAAGAGACAGTATTTATCTGTTACTATTTAATCGAAGACTTAATGCTTGAATACGAAGGTTCTTACTAAAGAATCAAATTCAACATTTAAGGTCTATCAACTCTGAAAATCCCCGAACGCGGAAATGCAGAAATACTGATTAAAATATATTTTCTTTTGGTATTGCTTTTTGCCCTACGCAGAATGTGCTTGATCAAAATGCTTGTAAAAATGTTTTACGTTTTTGTCTTTTCGTTTACCATTTAAACAAAATATCTTTATTTCAGACAGTCAATTTTTGTGAAAAATTCAAGCCCCGTGCGTAAGATTTTCGCTTTGACAACAAGCTCTGTATCACCAAATATCAATGTAACTTCATTGTTGTTGTCTTCACAGGTTTCTCCGTCTGGGAATTCTATTGACAGAACACCAAGCTGTTCGCACCCTGGGTCGGTTACAAACTGTGGGTTGGGATCACTGGTACAATAAACGGGTATCTCCACCATACGAGGATTCATTGGAGTATAAACTCTACGTACTTCGTGACCAACAGGAATTTCATCACCTACTTCGACAAACTTGTCAAATACGTCTTCAGTAACGTTTTCATCTTTATCTGACTCTTCATCCGTATTCGACTGGTTATCACCTTGGCTACCGCCGTCGAGACATAGCTGACTATTGCCAAAGTACATACCAAAATCAAATTCGTTGTAATCATCATCTGACTCTGAGTCGTATATTTGTAGTTGATCATCGAACAAAACGTGATGGTCATCATCTTCAGAAGATGATTTTTCATCGTCACTCTCTGAGCCACTGTTTGGAAATGACTTATTGTCCTCGTTATCAGAATCAGAAAGTGATTCTGTATCATCGACAGTCACCACTGAAACTCCATATGTATACTTCATCACTCTGGAAGACACTACATTTGGCATGTGTCCAAACCGAACTGCTCCTTTCAGGACAGCAAGACCAGGTTCATTGGGTATTATTATAGTTTTGTTTGGAATATTTCTTTTCAAGTTATCATGAACAAGCTGGCATTCCCCAAACCCACCAACGAGCAATATTCTCTGCACATTCTTCATTTTTATTTCGGCAAGGAGATGTTGCACATGGGCAACTATTTCGTTTATTGGGGCCTCAAACCAATCTTGTACAATCGATACATCTAGTCGCAGTTTATCGCCGGTGAATGTAACTTTGTCAGCTAATCCCATAGCTATGACTTTCATCTTTAAGTCTGAATTTTCGACCTCTTGATATATTTCTCTGAGTGAAGCAGACACCCTGAATGTGATTTTCCCCTGTGAATTCGTTGTTATGTTCCGCTTCTTTATTTCAAACTCTCTCTGGACATCGAAATAGTCAGCCATTTGTTCTTTTTTAAACCTCTTCATTGTGCCTTCTCCAAATAGAGTTGTCAGCCAGTCAAAATAGTTCTTGTCGACAGCAGTACCACCCCAAGGACCACCACTTGCTTTGTGAATTTCTTTAAGAGAGTTATCGGCTTTCTTTTCATGAACTGATATGTCGGCTGTTCCTCCTAAAATAAATATGGTAAAGCATATAGACTTCACATAAAGCCTACACTATTCAAAGCCGTTTCAGAATGCAATGTTCTCTTATTTACAAAGGAAAAAAGCCCAGATAATTTACCTCCCAAGTCAACAACCATGTACTGGCATCCGACATCAGACACAGACTTCTTAAGATCAGTTGATACCATTTGACACCAAATCGAGGCTGCCTCTGGTTCAAGAGAAAGTTTCAAACGTGTTGAATCCAGTCCTGCCTGTAGGTAAATGCAATACAATGTTAGAAATTATCTTTATCAACTTCAAATGAAAAATGAAATGTTTCTGTGAGCGTCAGAGGATTATTGCAGCTGTATTCTCTTACTAATCATCAGACTAAATGCCTTTTCGTTGATGTTTACTTTCATGACCTCCTTTCAATAGAGTAAAAATATCCTAGAGGTAAATGTAAGAATAGTTTTCACATTAGATTTAAGATATTACTTAAAAGCTTCTAAGTTATAAATAGTGTTTAACTGATATTACACATTTAAAACGAAACAGCACTTAACATGTTTTGCACCATAAAGCAAGTGGTCAAATTAACCTTCGTATTTTTTGTTTTATTTGATTGGGTTAAACGTCACACCGACACAGTATAGGTAATTCGGCGAAGTTCCGGCTGTACTGGTTGAGGAAGTCTCAGGTGCCCTTTGTACATTATTTAAGGCACAATAAATTGATTTTATGAACACATTTGTGTCATATTGACGGTTAGTCCAACTAAAAATCTTTTCTGGATAACTAATCAGAATTTACAAACTGCTCTTTAAATGACATATTACTATCCTGCAAGATTTTTTAATCCGCGATTAGAAACAAATGATCACTTGACTCAATGTCTAAAATGCATTGCCATGGAGTTATTTTTCATCGCCGCCCGAATATCGAAAGAGCGACTTCTGGAAAATTACCTATCTGCTCTTAATATTCGGCTAAGTAGTCGAAAGAACAAAGTTTTATACCATAATCGCAGCTTCCCTCATGAATTGTTTGGCGTTGTCATTCCAAATAGCTGGTACTGTAACGACATATTGTATGTCCTTTTCATTTAAACCAACTGTCTGTTTGTTGAGTGCTGTTAGCAAATGATCTCGGAGAAATCTAATTGCCATAGAAAATATCTCCATTGCAGGCATAGCTTTCCCATTAATGTCTTTTACCTTTGATGATCTATTCAAACCCTTTTAATGATAAACATGGATCTTTATAAATAATCAAAATATACCTGTACCCTGTAAAAATTATACATAGAGTAGATAAGTAATAAACTATGCCTACTTAATATTTCATTGCTTATGACGTAGGTTCTAACAAGTATTGTATAAAATATGAATTTCGGATCCCCCGATATTATTTAACCAAATTACCACTTTTAGTTTGGCGAAAGAAATGCGAGGCCGCAATAGGGAAAGGGTGACCAATCAATATAAACATTGAAAGCATATTAGAGAAAAACTATTGATTTAAAAATTACAGAGCATACTTAAATGGAGACGAAAATTTAAGGAATGAGTATGGAGAAGGGGCGGACACAATAATAAAGGAAAGTAGAGGGAATAAATCTTTGTTTCAAAATTTAAAAGGAATTAATGAGATCAATCATAGTAAATATTAAAACATATTCTTAAAAGTGTAACGTTATGAACGTTTTTGTTTTCAGTTAGCTGTTGTTTATGTTCGACTGATACGGAAACTAACAAAATATCTCTAGACAATAATTGTCACTTTTAAAGTGATGATTTTGAGCAATTTGATAGATTGTTAAATATATTTACCTCATTATTGTGCAACAACATCTTAAACCTGCGAAATAACATCCACCCATGGTGTTTGTCATCTTCGGCAAGATCAGAGTACCTGTTCTCTGCCTCAAACCCAAACGAGTCAAACTGCTTATGTTGATTCAGGAGAACGCATGTGGGTGTTTTCAGTGATATAAGTTTCTCGCTGCCAGCGTTCCACCCCTGATTTGTTTGTATTTTCATCGGCTCGTCGCGAAAGGAAAAAGCGTAGCCACTGTATGTTGTTCCAAAGTCAAAAGCTGCGACCAGAAGATGGCGGGAGAAAGAGTGTTCGCCTTTACCACCCATTTTATCTATGAAATCAAATTACAAACTTTTTAAATCTTAAGTTTTACAATTTATATACATACAATTGTAATATTTAGTCTCTGCTAAGCGAGATAGATAAGTCCAATTGTAACAAAATATGTTTAGTTCCTCAACGTGGGCACATGTAGCCAAACAAAAAATATTTGACCTTGAGACATAGGATTGACAAATCGGTGGCGAGTAGGGGCACCCGTGTCCTATGGAAACATTTCTTGTTCTAGTTTTTGCTCCAGTGACGTAGTTTTTCACCTGAGATGACCCATGTTCCAACTCATTTGAGCAATTACCTAGACAACCATCCTGAAAATTTTTGATAATAATTGAGTAAAAAATGTGACCATTAGAATGTTAACAAGGTTTTCCATATTTGGGCCGTATGGCCTAGTTTTTGATCCAAGGTAACCCATTATCTAACTAGACCTATAAATTTTCAAAACAAACTTTCAGACCAATTTTTTGGATATGTGGATAAAACGTAGCCACTAGAGTGTTAACAAGATTTTTCAATTTTTAGCTCCTAAGACCTAGTTTTTCATCCGAGATGACCCATGTTTAAAGTCATCCGAGCAATTCCCTAGAAAAGCATCCTGACCATGTCTATGATGATTTATTCAAGAATGTGATCACTAGAGTGTTAAAAGGGTTTTTTAATTTTTAGCTCCTCTGACATAGATTTTGATCTGAGATGACCCATGTTTAAACTTTTCTGAGCAGTTACCTAGACAAGCATCCTGACTAAGTTTGATTATAATTAAGTCAAGAATCCGATAACTAGAGTGTTAACAAGGTTTTTCTATTTTTAGCTCCTATGAACTAGTTTTTCATCTGAGAAAACCCATGTTTAAACTCATCTGAGCAATTACCTACACAACTACCCTGACTAAGTTCGATAAAAATTGAGTTAAAAATGTGACCACTAGAGTGTTAACAAGGTTTTTCTTTATTTTTAGCTCATGTGACCTAGTTTTTCATCCGAGATAACCCATGTCCGCACAAATCTGAGCTATTACCTAGACAAGCATCCTGACCAAGTTTGATGATGATTTAGGCAAAAATCTGACCGCTAAAGTGTTAACGAATAAAAGATTAGTCTTTTTGCTTGTCATTTTGCATACTTACAGTTGTAAGGCTGCATGCCCTCAGATGAACCAATATATTTCAAGAAAAAAATGACTGATTTTGCTGTATTTATCATCACATTCTACTAAATGACAAACGCAGTAATTGCTATTTTGCACATTTTTACCTCTTTTTGATAATTTAATTATATTGAATGCGCATTTTGAATTACTTTCTGTATTCACTTCAAAATGTTTTTCTTTTAACCCTTTACTGTGAACCTCTTTATTGTGAAAAATGGTGTTTTTCATTGAAAATAATAACTGTTGACTGTACCATAGCTTTTGTAACAGCATGATCAATTTTATATTTCATGTAACCATGGCAACGGTGGACATCAGACATGGCTAATGCTAATCGGTAATTTAATTTAATTTAATCGATTACAATTTTTTGAATAATCACAGTAATCAGCAATCATAATTTTTTCCCTGTAATTTAATCATAATTTTATCAATTACATGACAAATTAATCAGTATTCACAATGATTACATGTATGATTACAATACATGTTAAGCTAAAAAAAATGCTGAACAAACATACATAATTTATAAAGGTTAAAAAAGTACCAGTGTCAATACCTACTAATTGTCTTAGGTAGTGTAGGTGAATTACATGCAGTCAACCAGGTCAGATTTGATGACACAGGTGATTTAATAAGGTGATAAAAAGATCACTGACTGATTTACAAAATACATAAATGATTGTCACAATTATACCACTTTAATTTAACTGTGAAATTATAACAATTGCCTGAACAGGTATATTATCACTTATTGAGAAGACTTAACAGGTTCAGTAAAGAGCTGGTATAAGCTGCAATTTCTGACAAAAAGTGAGATATGATAACATTTTCTGTTGCATTTTGGTATTGTTAAGTCCATGTAGAAGCAACAAGTACAAAATGATGTTCGTCATATTGAAAAGAAAGCAATACGCAAGCATGGCAGGAAATATGCCTGCTTATTTTAAATACTTCATATTACAAGAAAAAATTCCTGATGATGGCAATGTGAGAGCTAAATGCACACACTGCGTTTCATATGAGAAAATAGCTTAGTAAATAGGAGGCCACAGATGCACATATGTAGACTGAATTTATTACTGTAAAACTAAGCAGGATTGTTTTTTGAATATTTGTTGTATTGAAATGTTCAATAAAACGATAGTGTTGAACCATTGTATTTCTTAACTTATGTACATGTAATCAGTAATTATAAACGTTATCTGATTACTCCTGTCAGTAATCAGTAATTTAATCAATTACAATGTCAAAATGAAGTAATCCGTAATTTAATTGAATCAAGCATTTTGACATTGGTGGTCATCTCAAAATTGCCAAAAATCACTATTTTGCGCTGATGTTTCCATGAAAACTGATTTTAAAGTATTGCAACTTCTAAGTAGATTGAAATAGAGTCAAAAGCTTTTTAGCGTTGGTTACACGTTACCTTAAAATCGGCGTTAGACCAATTTAAGCCTCTCAAAGTCCAAAATCTTCTTAGCGACGAGGGTTGCTGACTACTTTCAAATCCCTTAGCAGAAGGGGATACATTCCCCTCTGGAAACCCTTTGATGTACTTTATTTATAGGGGACGGCACTGGAAAAGTAATCACTTTTTAACAATATTTCTCATAACGAAAACAAGTGTTGGGCCAAAATAAGCATTTTCACTGTTTATGGGCCCAAAAATTAGGGAGTGAAAAACCGTCAAAACACGTCTATATGAGGTAAAAAGTTAAACACATGAATCTGGAGGCATGCCACTTTAAGAGCGATGGAAAATTATTTTCGAAACACATGCGCAAAAAGAATGCATTCCGACCGATCATGGAAATATTTCTTTTCTTCCGAAATACATGATGTACATGTAAAACAATTTGATTATATATAAATGATTTATCATCCTTCACAGATTATCAAAATTTCTTGTTTCAGATTCCATTCAAATATAATAAAAACCTTTTTCCTAAAGTAATAGAATTACATTGTTTCTGGCATTTGAGAATTATAAAACTAGCACTTGGGAGAAAGAAATTAAGCATTATCAATCATTACATAAAGCCTATAAACTCTCCAAAAATATTATTAATAAAAGGAAATAAAAGACAGGATTTTTACAGATAGTTTAACCGCAATAGTAAACACAATAAAAACAACTTAAAGTAAGACACCATCGTATTTATCGGCAATGCAGATACATTGCATTATAAACTTTCCACTTAACCTCCATTTTACAAGGGAACGCAGTGGTTTCGAACGTTTGCCCTTGCAATATTACACCCAACCTTCGCTAGATAAAACGAAACTACAAGTTGAATAATACATATTATATTTGTATAGTTATCGCCTTTAAAATTATAAAATTAATGCAAAAACAGTTACAAAATTATTATATAACATTTCAAAAAGAGTAAAATTGACTTACAAAAAAATCAAAATCGTCTTCTTTAGCAGTAACAGTAATATCAGCTCCGGACTTTTCAATACAGATAATATATCAGGGCAGAGTTCGAATTCTCAAAAAGCTAAATATAGAAATAACTTCCTGGATTTTGTTTGAAGAACTTTTTAGTTTCTGTGAATAGTATCATTGTAAAGTAGATTAAGTGTCATACGAAAGATCAAGAAGTACGTTTTAATCAGCCACACAAGGTTTAAAACGTTGATTGTACGCCTTAAAGTGTGTGTGTTTTTCTATCTATAGTTATACGTATTTAATGGTGTATATCTAGTAACGCAACCTCGTGCAAAAGTTATAACGATTCTAATCAAAGTTATGTCCGTTGCACGACAAACGAAATTTATAGTTAACAAACATTAACCGCATATTTCAAGGAATTTTACACACATTTCAAGGAATATGTTTACTTTTAGAGAACATTCGTGAGAATGACGACCTACTTCCATATTGAAGACAACTTAATTGTTTCGTTGATATTAATAAGTACAATCACGCATTTCAAAATTTATTGTTTTGATATTTGATATACTTTAGACAGTTGCCAAATTATAAATGTATTATAACAGTTAAAACCTGTTTCATGTCTCAAAAAATGAGGGAGTGAAAAGCCGCCAAAACACATCTATATTAGGTAAAAAGTTAAGTACATAAATCTGGAGGCATGCCACTTAAAGTACGACGGAAAATGATTCTTGCAACACATGTGCAAAGAAGAATGCATTCCACTCAATCATGGAAATATTTGTTTTTTTCTCTGCCGAATTACATGATGTACATGTAAAACAATTTGATAAGATATAAATGAACTATCACGCTTTACAGATTATCCAAATTTCTTGTTTCAGATTCAATTCAAATATAAGTAAACCTTTTGCTTTAATTAATAAAATTGCATTGTTTATGTCATTTTTAGACTTATAAAATTAGCACCAGGAAGAAAGACATTAAGCATTATAAACCATTACATAAAGGCTATAGAGTCTCCAAAAATAATATTAATATAAGGAAATGAAAGACAGGATTTTAAAACATGTTTAAACAGATAGTTTAACGCAATAGTAAACACAATAAAAACAACTTCCTTGTTGACTCAAATTTCTGATTTTTTTCTTCGTTTTTGTTGAAGCGCCGACTTAAAGCAATACCACTCAGTATCTATCGGCAATGTAGATAAACTGTATTATAAACTTTCCATTTAACCCCCATTTTACAAGGGAACGCAGTGTTTACGAACGTTTGCCTTTGCAATTCTACACCCCATCCTTCGCCAGGTAAAACGAAACAACAAGTTGAATAATACATATTATATTTGTGTAGTTATCGTCTGTAAAATTAATGCAAAATCAGTTACAAAGTTATCATATTACATTCAAAAAGAGTGAAAATGACTTACATAAAAATCAAATCGTATTCTTTAGCAGTAACAGTTATTTCAGCTCCGGACTTTTCAATACAGATAATATATCAGGGCAGATAACGAATTCCCAAAAAGCTAAATATAGAAATAACTTCCTGGATTTTGTTTGAAGAACTTTTTAGTTTTTGCGAATAATATCATTGTAAAGTAGATTAAGTGTCATACGAAAGATCAAGACGTACGTTTTAATCAGCCACGTTTAAAGCGTTGATTGTACGCCTTAAAGTGTGCGTGTTTTTCTATCTATAGTTATACGTATTTAAAAGTGTATATCTTGTAACGCAGACAAGTGAAACAGGCCTCGTGCAAACGTAATAACGATTTTAATCAAAGTTATGTCCGTTGCATGACAAATATGATTTATAGGAAATAAACATTTACCGCATATTTCAAGGAATTTTACACACATTTTAAGAAATATGTTTTTCTTTTAGAGAACATTCGTCAGAATGACGACCTACTACCATATTGAAGGCAACTTAATTGTTTCGTTGATATTAATAAGTACAATCACGCATTTCAAAATTGATTGTTTTGATATTTGATAAACTTTAGACAGTTGCCAAACTATAAATGTATTATAACAGTTAAAACCTGTTTCAGGTACTTTTTATGAGGTAACCGGCGTTGCTTTGGTACACCCACGAAATATGAACTGCAATCAAATGTCAGATATTTTGCCACACCGATTCTATAAATGGAAATTAGTGACATTTAATAAATATTACATACTTCCTTTGAGAGGCGTATGAATTTATAACTTCATTCATAACCGTTACTGCGAAATGACGTCATCTTTTCACCCGACTCCCCTCTCATGTCAGATGAAATTTTCAGCATAATAAAACATACGGAAACACCTGAATAATATGCAAGGAATCGGTGTTTTATAGAAGTATTTAAAGTCTAATACATTTCATTGATATATATATATCATCAATTTATTGAATGAATACACATACAAAGAAAAAAAATCATCCTCATTATCGTCATCAAAAGGACATTTGGGCCACTAAGAAAATGATTAAACAAATAAATCAACCGTTAATCTTTCACACAAAACGAGCGAGACAAAGAGCGATCTTATAAAAATATCTGTACAAGATATTCACAAGAATTAGCATCATGTTTTAAAGTGTACGCCACTCAGTCCATGTTTGAATCTTTAATCGAGGATTGACCATTATTATGCCTTATATCCTTCTTTGACACCAGCACTGATTAGTTTAAGATTGTTGACCGAAGTTTCATTGAAGTTTGAGCTGAGATAGATATTTTTATATAAAAACACATTGATATTTACATGTACGTCAACACATCAAAAGATATGATAATGATATATACAAATAGCACTCTAAATATATAAATATAAAACAAGAGTTTGAGTTAGATGAATTAAGGCGTTCAAGTATGAATTAACAATGGGCTAATATCGGCATGATAAAGAAGCTAACCAACTGTAAATGAATTTGATTCTAAGAAAGCTGTATGTTTAAAAATAAAAGCAAAGAAGTAAGACAGATGGATAAATAGAAAGCAAAAGTTTATATGGAGGTCAGGAAGAAAAAATGTGATAAAATAACTACCCAGAAATGAAAAATAAATATGTTTTTAAAATTCAAAATGAGGCAAAACAGTCTCAAAATAATGTTTTTCTAACAGTTTAATAATAGTTGCAGTTAGTTAAATCAGCGGTCACAACATAGAACGAACGTACATTGTCAATATTCGTCTGCTATAATGATAACGCACACACCCTTGTTACTTGTATAAACTGACTATATAAGAGGTATATTCCTTAAAAAATCAACAAAGGATAGAGTATTAATGGAATAGAAACACGCTAAGTCATAATTAAACTGATATATGATACAGTCCCATTTTTCTAATGCAGGTCTATGTGTATATGGTTATTGTAATTTACATATAATCAGTTTTTTTAAGTTTGTATGTCTTTTAATTATATCGACCTGTGCCACTAGATAAAGTTTAATCATTTTTTTCCTTATTGATTATCATAATCATGACAACGGTTCCAGAGATTACATATTGCTGTCCACTGGTCATCAATTTTGGATTCCAACCCATATCTTCTTGTACAGCTTTATTTGGTGTATATTTACAAGTGCCAAGGTTTTCATTGTTCTAAGATGTATTGCTGCAACACAAGAGAAAAATTGGTTCCCCATATAGCTGCCCCATAAGAGATAACAGAAACTACATATGAATAATACAATCTGGTGTATACTTCGTAGGATAGATCACCTTGACTTTTGCGTTTAGAAATGAGAAATCTCAGGGTAGGACCATCACTTTGCGCTTCTGTTTTTGTAGTGATATTGTATTCAAGATGTTCTGTTAATAAAATACCAAAATATAAATACTTGCTAGAACACTCTGTAACAGAATCACTACGCTTTAAAATAATGTAAAAATGTTAATTATGTAAAACAAATAATGAAGCTTCATTCTTTAAAAAGTAGCAAATCTATGTCTCCATAGCCAAAGACACTTCTTTATAACTATATCTTAGCCTACAGCGACATTTAAAACATTCTTAACACTATCGAAATTTTCGCAGTTTGCATTAGATAGGTAGCCCAAAAATCGTGCCACCATTTTTATCTAATTGTTTGAACATCATCTGTTATAACACAATTATCTTATACAATCTGCAGTAGCATAATTTTACTACGCTCATTAAATATTCTAACTTAACAAATATTTTTCAAGCAATGGTAATGATTATTTCTCTAGATTTAATAACATCTCATTTTGACTTTTCTGCCAATAGTTATGTTGACATCGTTGCACCGCTCTGTCAAATGTTCTTCTAGACAAAGTGTATTTATGTTTGAGCTTCCTTTTACGTGCTTTATTTAAACATTTGAGCCAGCTTCGCTCGGCAATGTGTAAACTATTCAACATTTCCTAGAGTTTTAGAATCCACCAGGGTCTACATTTCTTAATTCTCCTTACAACAGTTATACATTGGTATGATTTAACAGTTTTAAAAGGCAACATATCGTACATTTTAGCTTTCACAAAATCACACTAAGGTATGTTAGGGTCGGCACGTATCTCATTCCATTTTCAGGTCTTTCATTTACATTATTTTTTCAGCTTTTGTAAAGCCATCCACCAAAAAACATTTGTAATATTCTCAAGGTTAAATATGTCAAAACAAGGTGGTATCTCGTTATCCACTGGGCTTTCATGCAGACCAACATTGACATTGTCCATGGAATTTCAGTGTTATAAGGTATATTATAGGTACAATATTTTCATTACAAAAGTTACCAATTATCATATCGGTGATTTGCGTAACATAAAAATATGTAAAAAGATGCAAATTTTCATGAAATATTAAACAATAGATAACAATAGAACATTTTTTACTTGAAACAGATGTAAAATCGTTACTGACATAGTTACGACCATTTAATATGTACATGTTACAATCAATAAGAAATTGAAATCTTAAAAGTTTGTCTTAAACTATACAATATTACGCTGTTTAATTACGTCAACTGCTGCAATAAAGTCATCCTGATTGCCACAGCAGCTATTCAGGTCACCAAAAATGTTAACAAGGCCCATTTGTTGATATTCATACATATTTTGCAAAAGACTATTATGAATGAGATTAACATCTGAATATC